GTTTTTCAGCTGCAGGGGCAGGACGACTGGTTGCAATCGAGGGAAGGGTGAATGCGGCCAAGTACAGGGATATCCTGGACGAAAACCTTCTCCAGAGTGCTCAGGACCTCAGACTGGGCCGAAGGTTCACCTTCCAACAAGACAAGGACCCTAAGCACACAGCTAAAATAACGGAGTGGCTTCACAACAACTCCGTGACTGTTCTTGAATGGGCCAGCCAGAGCCCTGACTTAAAACCCATTGAGCATCTCTGGAGAGACCTGAAAATGGCTGTCCACCAACGTTTACCATCCAACCTGACAGCACTGGAGAGGATCTGCAAGGAGGAATGGCAGAGGATCCCCAAATGCAGGTGTGAAAAACTTGTTGCATCATTCCCAAAAAGACTCATGGCTGTATTAGCTCAAAAGGTGCTTCTACTAAATACTGAGCAAAGGGTCTGAATACTTATGACCATGTGATATTTCAGTTTTTCTTTTTTAATTAATCTGCAAAAATGTCTGCAGTGCCAAGAATCATTTATTGAACATTATTGAATTATGATTAAGAGGGTGGGATACAGGATCACCTTGTCAATTTTTGGCCTTAATCTCTCTGCCGAGTAAGTCAGGTAGTCTGGAGCACGTCTTCTCCTCCGGGTCTTCACGCAAAGCACGCCTGACCAACTCTGTTGTTAACTTTATTCCCATCTCTAGCTTCCTGACATTGTTCCCCCAATTGCGTCAACTCCTAGGTCTCACTTCTCTTTTTCAGGAACACCCTGCAAAATGTTCTGAACAACAGGAAGACTGGCCCAACTTCCCCTCCGAGTACATTGCTAAAGAATAACAGGCCAATGCCTTTGCTGCTGTTACATAAGTATACCCCAGTCTATTATTCTATCTCACATTACATGTTATGCATTAACTGATTATATATTGTTTGCTTGTTTTATCCACTACAAAGACAAAAGCAATCAATTATCAGCACACAATCATTAAAATAAAAAAAAAATTTAAACATTTTTTATGTAACTGAGCAGTACTGAAAGGTTAGGATGTCAGGATTAACAGTCTCTGATGATAGTTGATTTGTCAAACATCTGAAATAATAAGCATGTGTTAGTTTTCATGGAACACTCATGTATCACTTTCATTTATACAATTTGGTTCACATTAATGTAACTTCAGGTTTGGAATAATTTCTACTGTTATAAAGAACTCTAAGGAAAATTTTTTGCAGTGGCTAGTTAGGTATGTCCATCAGTTTGACTCAAACCTTTCAACCTTTCTTAAATATATTTCATACAACTCTTGGTTAACAAAGTTTCCATTTCCAAGTCTTTATCCACAAGAGAGTGTGTGCCAAATCACTTTATAGCACTTTCACATTCTTGCGTGAAGATAAGGGAGGGTCCCTTTGCATTCCTGTTTCGTTACCCTGGAAACTGATCGGTTAAGAGGGAACCAAATGTCTTGGACTTGTTTGAGTTAATTGAAACTTGTGTCTAAGATCAGAAGTACGAGTCCAAGATGCGCATTCGAATGCAGTAAAGTCACAAGTTTTGGGGGGGTTTGGGGTCTCTGGAGACAGGATCTCCATCTGATAAGGAGAGACAGCCCAAAGAGCAGTTTGCATGTGTCAGTCTTCTGCTGCTCTCATTGCCTAGAATCCAAGTCTAATGTGTTAATTATGAATATTTTGAGTTCCTCAGAATAAAACATCACTTCCAAAATGTCTGCTTTAGGCTTGTGGACAACACGTTGCCATGGCAATCTTATTGCATGATTATATAACAGTGTACTATACTGCCCCCCAGTGGCCTCCAATCAATTAATGCAGCTTTAAACATTATTCCAAAATTGTCAGTTGTGGCCACTGTAACTACTGTTAAATTATACAAGCCCACTTTACGAATACCTCATACTTTTTTTTTTAAATTATCAATAACAACAAGTAAATTTATATTATATTAAAACAATGTGCCCAATTCAGTTGAGTTAAATAAAATGGTTGCATATACTTTGGTGCTTTGCATTAGAGACAAGGTAATTAAAGCACAAATCCAACAAAACCTCAACCAAGATCCTACCTAATATTACAGAATGATGAAAGGCTAACAGTAAACATTTCCCACAAATAAACTTTATAAAACATCTAGATTTAGTCTACAGTGGCATTTCAGTACAGGCAAACTGCCATTCAGTTATTTTTTGCTTAAAAGGTGATCACTGTCACACAAGTTGTCTGATAAATATACTACAGTACCTGAGCTTCATGTCTGACTAAGTCAGCAACACTGTTTTATAAATGGACCTTATGAAAATTTCATTACAAATCCCTCCAGGAGCAGCTGGAGTTAAGTACCTCAGTACCACAGTACATTTGGTATTCAGTGGGCAGACTCTTCTCTATTGTCTGAGGCCCTGAGAACAAAAACTGCATTATCAAGAACATAGTAATCATTATACATGTCCCCCTCACAGAGGTATGGCAACCGGGTCACAGCCTCCACCTCAAACCCCATGCTTTGGAATACCTCATTGGACAGGTTGGTTACTTGCTCTTCCCATGTTTTTCCTTTTATTTCTAGATTTTGTTTGGGATGTTGCCAATGTGCTCCTGAGGGGAAAAAAAATATAAAGTGGTTTCATTTAGATCCTATACCAAGTACAGGAGAACAGAGTGAATCATATCAATTTTCCTTTGGAACAAGAAGCACTGAACTCGAACTGACCGACTTCTACATATGGTTGGAAGGGGAGCACAGCGGCTAGAATGAGTCTCCCTGTGTTGGGAACTAGTGATCGCTTGATGTCCCACAGGAGATGTAAAGGATCATCGCAACGATCTAGCAGGTTCAGGCAGCTGATCACATCATACTGGAAACCAGTCTGCTGCCAATCATCTATACCCAGTACTCTGAACATGACAACAGGACACAGAGAGAAAGAGAGGCCTGTATGGTCAGAAGTGTGTTCTGTCCAATTTCAGGGAAAGAAAAAAAAATGTTTTGGATGGTGATAAGTTGAAATAATAATGATCCTTTTCAAATAAACATCTGATTTTTAATTTGTACATGTAGCACCGCTTCTTCTTCTTCTTCTTTCAGCTGTTCCCATTAGGGGTCGCCACAGCGAATCATCTGTTTCCACCCAACTCTATCCTCGGCATCCTCTACTCTCACCCCAATTAACGTCATGTCCTCTTTTAGCACATCCATATATCTCCTCTTTGGCCTTCCTCTTGACCTCTTGCCTGGCAGCTCCATCTCCAACATCCTTCTACCAATATAACCACTATCCCTCCTCTGCACATGTCCAAACCATCTCAATCTGGCCTCTCTGACCTTGTCCCCAAAACAGCCGACCTGAGCTGTCCCTCTGATGTGCTCATTCCTAATCCTGTCCATCCTGGTCACTCCTAAAGAGAACCTCAACATCCTCATCTCTGCTACCTCCATCTCTGCCTCTTGTCTTTTCCTCACTGCTACAGTCTCTAACCCATACAGCATAGCTGGTCTCACTACTGTCTTGTACACCTTTCCTTGGATTCTTGCTGACACTCTTCTGTCACACAACACTCCTGACACCTTTCTCCACCCACTCCAACCCGCCTGCACTCGCCTCTTCCCCTCTTTCCTACACTCCCCATCACACTGGACTGTTGACCCCAAATACTTAAAATCCTGCACCTTCTTGACCTCAGCCCCCTGTAACCTCACTGTTCCACTTCCCTCCCTCTCATTCATACAGATGTATTCTGTCTTACCACGACTGACTTCATTCCTCTTTTTCCAGAGCAGACCTCCACCTTTCCAGGTGTTCCTCCACCTCCTCTCTGCTCTCACTACAGATCACAATGTCATCCGCAAATATCATTGTCCACGGAGATTCCTGTCTGACCTCATCTGTCAACCTGTCCATCACCAAGGTAATTAATTTGATCTGGCTATAGATGTAAAAGAAAGTAGTAGGCAAGACTCACAGGCAAGACATACTCACTTGTAATTCCTCCTCTGAAGATGCCATTTCATGGGTAATGAGACCTCAGTTGCATAGACCTCTCTGAAATGGCCTCTCATCACCTGTGTGACACCTCCATCCCCAGCTCCAAGGTCTAGCAGTCTCTCAGCCTTCCATTCCGGGCCAATCCGGAGCAGCTGCTGGAACTGCTCTGCAGAAAATACAAACATGGAGCCACGCCCCAGAAACCTGAGACACAGAGAGCACATCATATGAATATACACTACTGATGAAACAGGGACAGAAACATGCCTGTACTACCCACCCATTGATAGAGGTGCGTGAGACCAGAGGGCTCAGGACTGTTGATAGAAAAGAGTGGTACAGCTGGGTGAACAGGCAGCCAGACTTCTCCACACTCTGCTTGAGAAAAGCCTTGGTGCCCGAGTCCAAGTGGCTCTGGATAAACTTGGGCTGCACTGATTCTCCAAGCAAGTCAGGACAGCATCGGTACCACTTAAGGAAAAATGGAAAAAAATTAAAAACAATTTAATTTAAAAGGAAAAGAGAACTGAAGAAATTTTTACAGACTTAATTTGGATCTACACCCGAAACACAATTTGCCCTCATGGCCTAACTTTCCTATAGACTATATTGTCACTAGAGCTAGACTACAATCTGTCTGGACATTATTCTGTTCACATTTCTTTGTTTTGAATTGAATCAAAACAGGTAATGTCAAGGCACTTAAAATAGTATGGTCTAGACGCTGCTGCTGCTACTACTACTACTGCTACTACTACTATTATGTGGATGCTGATTCACCACTGTTATTGGCACCTAATTTCTTCAGCATACTGTCAGACAGAAACACTGTTCTGGTATCTAAATGTTCAGCTTTTCAACATTGCATGTCTTCCTTCAGCTATTTCAACAAAGAACTTCAGCCATTTTTTCTCAACCTTCAACTACTTCAACAAAGAACTTCAGCCATTTCCAGAGTCATCCCAACACTGCACCTCAGTGACACTGTGCTGGAGTGTCATCTCATGGTCAATAAAATGCAATGCAATTGGGCATGGCACTTTATAACTCCAGCATACTTTCAGCTAGAAAAGCCATTCAGGTATCAAAATGTTCAGCTCTTCAAGAACAGACCTTGTTAGGGTGATTTTTATTTTACACACTTATGAATAGTTTTATTTTATAGCACACATCAGTATATATACTTACATGTCACAGATATGTTTATGTAGTTACTTTTCACCCAATTATAGGTTCAAAAGAACACGCCTCACAACCTGCTTGTATTTATTGCATCTCATCCTTCAGATTATTCAACAAAGAAGTTCAGACATTTCTTCTCAACTATTTAAACAAAGAACTTCAGCCTTTTTTCTCATCCTTCAGCTGTTTCAGTAATTGACTTCAGGCATTTTCAGGGTGATCCTTCAGCACATCAGCATCCACACATTTTTGACAGGAAATGTTGTGTGGATCTTGTGTGAATGCAGTAATGCAGCCCCACACTTGTGTGAATGCAGTAATGCAGCCCCACACTTGTGTGAATGCAGTAATGCAGCCCCACACTTGTGTGAATGCAGTAATGCAGCCCCACACTTGTGTGAATGCAGTAATGCAGCCCCACACTTGTGTGAATGCAGTAATGCAGCCCCACACTTGTGTGAATGCAGTAATGCAGCCCCACACTTGTGTGAATGCAGTAATGCAGCCCCACACTTGTGTGAATGCAGTAATGCAGCCACAATATGTTAGCCTAATCTTTATTATTATTATTGTATGGATGCTGATTCAGCATCCATACTATGTTCTCCAATTATTTATTGTCTGGGTGCTGATTCAGCATCCATATTGGGTTCAGTTTTTCAGGTCTATATTATTGTGTGGATGCGAAGCAACCACACTATGTTATCCTATTCTTTATTGTGTGGATGCGAAGCAACCACACTATTGTTAACCTCTTATTTATTATCATTGCATGGATGCTGATACTGTGTTATCCTTCAACTAGTTCAGCATACTTTCACGTAGAAAAGCCATTCAGCTATTAAAATGTTCAGCTCTTAAAGGACATTCATGCTTTTTATAATTTTTGTAAACGTCATACCTTTGAAAAATTTAGCTTTATTTTGAAACTTTTGCACCATTCAAATGAATGGGGAAATTCTACTTCAACATACTTTCAGGTATGAAAATGTGACGTTTTCCTCATCTTTATTATTATTCTTCCGTACGTTATTTTGGGCCTTAACTACTTCAGCATGCTTTTAGCAAGAAAAACCATTCAGGTATCAAAGTGTTCAGCTTTGTCAGGACATGCGCGAACCTCTTCAGAATTTTCCTAAACTTAATATTTTTTAAACTATTTAGTGTTTTTAGTGAAATTTGGCCCATTCAAATGAATGGGGAAATTCAACTTCAGCATAGTTTCAGCTACAGTTATTTCAGCTATCAAATGTTCAGCTCCTCAAGAACATTCATGCTTCTATTCAGAACTTTTGTAAACTTCATACTTTTGAAATATTTAGCTTTATTTTGAAAATCTTGCCCCGTTCAAACGAATGGGGGAAATTCTACTTCAGCATACTTTCAGCTAATTCAGTTATCAAAATGTTCAACTCTTCAAGGACATTCATGCTTCTACTCAATTTTTCTAAATTTCATACCTTTGAAATATTTAGTTTTATTTTGAAAATCTTGACCCTGATTCAAATGAATGGAAATGGAAAAATTCTACTTCAGCATACTTTTTTTTTTTTTTTTAGCTTTTTCAGGTCCCATTCAAATAAATGAGAAAATTCTACTTCAGCATACTTTCAGCTCTTTTAGCCGTCAATGTTCAGCTCTTCAAGGACATTCATGCTTCTATTCAGACTTTTTCTAAACTTCATACTTTTGAACTATTTAGCTTTATTTTGAAAATCTTGCCCCTTTCAAATGAATGGGAAAATTCTACTTCAGCATACTTTCAGCTAGCAAAAGCATTCTGGTGTTAAAACGTTCAGCATTTTCAGGGCGATTTTTCAGCACTCAGCATTTTCATACTTCATTCTGAAAATCTTGCACCATTCAAATGAATAGCAAAATTCTACTTCAGCATAATTTCAGCTCGCAAAGACATTCAGGTGTCAAAATTTTCAGCATTTTCAGGGCAATCTTTCAGCACTCAGCATCCATATGCATTTTCTGCAGAAAATGCGTTTTTCTAGTTATTATTATTGTTATAAAGAAAGGCCCAACATATCCCCTTTTAGCAGCACTTGGCAAAAGTAGGGAGGAAAATCTCCCTTTAACGGAACAAACCTCCGACAGACCCTGGCTTGTGATGGGCGGCCATGTGCCTTGACCAGTTGGGGTGAGTAGATAGAGGAGAGAGGAAAAGAAAAGAAAAGCAAAGCAATGAAGAAACACTGGGTAGGTTGATGTGATCGGTGACTACTCATATGAATCATAGAGCTCCAAAGGCAAGGATACCTGCGGTATACACCGATCAGTGAAGTGAATAACACTGACTGTTACAGTGGCGCCTGTCAGTGTGGCGGGGTATATTAGGCAGCAAGTGAACATTCAATTTTCAAAATTGATGTGTTGGAAGCAGAAAAAATGAGCAAGCAAAAGGATCTGAGTGACTTTGACAAGTGCCAAACTGTGATGATGAGATGACTGGGTCAGAGCATCTAACACACTGCAGGTCTTCGTCAGTGTTCTTGGTCTGCAGTGGCCAGTACCTACCAACAATGGTCTAAGGAAAGATGAATGGTGAACTGGTGACAGGGTCATGGACGCCCACAGCTCACTGAAGAGATTTCCCTACTGTAGATTAAAATTTATTTGAATCTTTGTTAAAATGGTGGAAAATGAGAAATACTGTACGTTGGTCTCTATGAAGAGAAAGTCAGGGGCTGTAGTGGTGATATCACACCTAGAGTGATGAGGCTGTTGAATTTGTCTAAAAATTCTCTCCGACTCATCCTCATGACTAGTTTTCACTCCTTTTACATACGTTTTTCACTGAATTGTAGACGCATCTGTGCTCTTCCTGACAGTATAACCGTGGGCGCAAATGGATTCACAAAAGATGCACAGTGAGCTGCAGAGTGACATGAGTGCCAACCAACTGCCACATTGACTCCTATGAAAATAGTAAGCAGGTGGCCATAATGTTATGCCCAATCAGTGTAAATAACAGATGGATGGAGTATTGATACCATGCTAACAGATGCATGGGCCAGGTTTTCAGCATCATTTTGAGACAGGATGTTACTGATTTTTGCAATATTGTGCAGGTGATAGAAGGCAGTTCTAGAGACTTGGTTTATGTGTTTTTTTTAAAGGACATATCCTGGTAAAAAAAAACTCCAAGGTTCCTCACAGCAGTACTGGAGGCCAGAACTATGTCATCTAGAGTGGTTAGACAGCATATCAGCAGATATCAGCTTATAGTTGATATATTAGTATCAGTGTCTAGACACGCCAATAAGCAGAACAAAAATGCCCAAGTAGGTCTCCATTACATAGTTTGTCCTACAGAGAGCAAGTTTATTGTTCCAGTGTAGAATGCACTGCTTAGTATAAATCTCAATTACAAGTTAATAAAAAAAAACTTTAACAAAATTAATAACAGTCAATGTCATTATCAGAAATACCAATGTCAAAATCAGCCTCAAAAAAGACATGTAGCCATAAACCTTATCAAATGAACTTCTCCCTCCCTGGGGATGTGGGGGAGGAAGAGAGGAAAACCACCAATGGAGCCGCTACGTAGAGCTGGAAGTCGGCGTAGGACGATTGAACCGTTTAAATGGCTCACAGTTCAGCAAAGAAAACTGAATTCCTACTTAAAAGATGATTTACTCTTAAATGAAAAATTTCAACAGAATGCCACAATCCAACAAACTCAAACCAGCTGAGGACTGGTGGCCGTGAGCAAACCTTTGACTTTTATTCAATTATGGAGGGATCAACCAATTATAATGTTTTTAATCAGTATGATCATTTTAGATTGATGTTTAGAAATAGTAGTTGTTGATTTAGATGGTAAAACAATCAAGACAATTATTGATGATTTTAATGTTATATCTTGTTGCTTGCTGCAACCTTTTTAAACTTCTATATAAAATTCTTGAAAGGGTAATAGTCTCTTTGAGTCAATATTTTTATGATTTTAGTGGGTTTACACTTAAGTGATATTGGTTAAAGCTGCACATACAGGCACACAAACATTATAATGAGTGTTTGATATTATACAACAATTCAGTGTTGACAGCAGACCAACAATGAACTGCTAAAATGATTTTTAGGCAGTTATATCAGAAAACATTTTATATAAATTATCTAGCTGCTTACTTATTACATAATACAAACTTCCCTTTGAATATCCTAGCCTTAACAACATCTTGTGTCAACTAAATACTGTACAAAGTAAATATGGTCTTAAGTGGCAGGTGTCATGGCTTTTATGGGTTATTTCAGACAAAATTTAACACTTCCTCAAAGAGCCAGAGTATACTGGTTTATAAAACTCTCAGTAGGAATAGAATCTGAGGGTATAAGGAGGTAGCTGCTTATAACTGCATGTTGTTATTTGGAAGTTTGGGGTTTTATCCTGAATTAATAACATGTGAGAGGGAGGTCTGCAGGGGACTCTGTTCGCAGGTTCATGGTAGTCAATTACTGAGTGAATATCTCTGCCAAAATGCCCCAAGCAGTGTTTGGAGCTTTAATATGTTTCAAATATGCCACCTTAGTGTGAGAGATTGTTAGGTATTTTTAGTCAGATAGATATTGGTCAGATACTTGTTGTATTAGAAATGTTTTCGAGTAGACAGGATGTCTAGCTTAGGCTGTTAAATGCTTACTCATTTTCATGAGTTACTGCAGGATGCTTATGGTCAAGGATAACTAGATAGAAAAGTGGATGACTGTCAGCAGACAGGATGTTTAATATTATTATTATTATGACGTGTATAACTGTAGCCATAGTCATAACTGGGAGACGCTGCTGCTTGGTGTTTCCTGTTAGTATGGGATTAGCCCGAGGCGATATAATGTATTAGGCCTGTTGGGTTCGGGGTCTTTCATCTTTCAGCTGCCTGCGTGCATGTTGGAGGTGCAAGATACCTGAGCGTGTAATGTTAATTTTTACCTGTGCTTATTGAATAAATCAGCACTGTTTTGAAGCTACTTGGACTGCCTTGTCTCTCAGAGTTAGCATGGTAAAAAGAACCGATTGCAACAAGATTATTAAGCTTTATTCCTATGTCCACGGGTTAGCATATCATGGCCTTCATACTGTGGGGTTGTGGATGTCTATTTGCAGTGGACATCTGAGATCATGATACTCTTAGAATGTGTAAGTGACATAAAATGTTTGTCCTTTTTTTTTTTAAATCAAATTGTGGCAGTCAGACACCAAGGGTTTTAAGTAGCTTACTTTAATTGCCTCCATTGTTGTTGGTGTTGACAAGGAGCCCAGACTACAATAACCAACTTTCCACTGTTTTTGCAACATCAACAGTACATGCACTCTATAAAATAAGGTTTTGATATGTGAACGGAGGTGCATGTCAGCCTGGGTTTGAAAATCTGATGTGATGACTGATGTTTATGTTTTTGACACATGTGCTGCATATTAATATTAGATAACCGGTTACACAAAACAATCAGCCTATTCAGCTGGTTTGATACAATATGTGATTAAATGTAACTAGTAGTCTAATATTAAACATGAGTAACTCTCAGCCACTTTCATTTTTTCAAAATTAGCTCTCTGAGCTAAAAAGGTTGGAGATCCCTGCTCTAACAGAAAGCCCAGAATCAATTCAGCAATTCCAGCATTCAGTTTTAAATTAGATAACTAAGCACATGAAAGTGAAACTAAATTACACACACATATCCGAGTCCTCAATTCATGTGTGCCTTGTCAATACAGTGTTCATCTGCCTTATTAATTCCTACCTCTTGCGTATCAATCGAGGCCGCTCCCCTCTCGCTCAGCCCGCTCGTAAAGAGTAAACGGGCGACTGGGCTACGGACGTAGCTCCACGTCCACATCCTTCTGATGGACAGCAGAAAGGCGACGTAACCCAGCACCCACGCGACGAATATCAGCGTCCTCAGCTGTAAACACCTAAGGAACAACAACTCTCTCAGTGGGGTAGCTGACAGGCTGTGCTCGCAGTCTTGAGGAAGCGACAGACTGGTCAGTGAGATATGGTTAATATTAGATGATAAAGAAGGCAATGTCAACCAATTGCAAACCTCCACGCCAGTGCACATCTCCAATTCTAAAATAACACAAACCCGGGGGTACGGTGGATTTAAGAAAGCCGACTGTTACTTACTCGCCATCTTAGCCCCGTGATTTCATTGTCCGCCAATTTCATTCATTCATTACGCCCTATATATGTATACTCAATAGTGAACAACAAGTTGAAATTTTGGACACATACTAATCGCCGCCATTTTGCGTCCTCACCAACAGCTCCAGTAAAAACAGTGTTGCATTGTGGGATTGTTAGCAAAAATTTGTGTAGGCTACATGTCGTGAAATATTTAATTGCACTATATACGCTAGTTGAGAGATGTATGCAGTCATTATAACAATACTATGAAATGGCGAACACACTACCTAGCAAATAATTACTGGGTTCGCTAGCTAACGTTCCTTACAGGTTACACAGGAAAGTTTTCTTATGGTTCTGTTAACATTCGCGTCGGGTTTTATTTTTTTTACGAAGCTCCTACCTTAGCATCTAACTATGTAGCGTTAGTTTTCGTGAACTCTTCTATCAATTCAGTTCGCTTAATTCAGCCGTTGGCTCTCACGTCCGTCCAGTCTGCGCTTTCCTCCACTTCTTTCCAACTTCTCCCAGTGGGTCAGAGTAAGCAGCTGCCGCAGTCTTCTTCTTCCTAGGTTAAATGCAGACAGACTAACTTAAAAGCTGTATCCCGCCTTCTATTGCACCGGAGTGTGTAACTTCATCCCTCTATGAGTGGATCATATTATACACACAAGCCCTGTCTACTTTAGATATTTCAAGTGCCAATGTCACGCTCATTCTGCAAATTTCCAGCCATTTAATGTTGGGTCCTTTTACATTAGCTTCGCACCCCTCATAACTTCAAATAGTCTGTAATTATTTCAGAATAACAAAACCAGAGAGCCTCGTCCTAAAAACAAGAGGATATTTCATGAACATGCACAACTCCTTTTGCTGGTGTTGTGTCTTGTTATATCCCAGTTCTTTTATTGGACAGATCTGAATAAGGAAGGAGTCAGTCTTTCTTCATTTTAGTGCTGATTTGTTTAAGAAAACAATTGGTGTCAAGGTACACTTTTCAGAATCAACATTGTCTTCTAACCTTGAAGCAGAGCAGACCAGAGCAGACTTTGAATCTTACTAAACTGCATTACTAATACATTTGATTCAACACATTAATGTCTAATAATTATCTGACTGATTTATTAATTTCTAACA